AGGCCATGAATATCGCGGTGTCTCGCCATGATCAAACGGAAGATTCATTCGATGGAGCGGGGCACAACACACTGCAAATAGAATATTGCAGCATATCCAGATACTTGTTGAAGTCACTTTCCCATTACCCTCCTTTGCTGATTAGCTGGAGGAGGCCGCTGCGCGCTGAAACTAGGACGATGATGATGAACCTTGCCATCTTCTAGCTGAAGATTCATCCTCCTTTCTCCCGTTCAGTAAACGATTGAGTGGGTTGCAGCGCACGAGGGACAATGAAATTAGCAGTGTAACCTGCCTTGTGCTAATGGAAGATTCATTATTATTGTAATTCCCAGTTTGTAACTGGGCGATTACCTCTTCTGCTTGTCACAGTGGGGTTTCATAGGCAAACCGGGAGAGCGTGTGACTTTGACATGGGCTGTTCATGGAGGTTGTATCTGTTGGTTGGCATACTTAAATCCGGGTAGTGATGATGAAGGTCATCCTCCCTGTGGACATTGGATGTACGCTGTTGAATGGATTACATCGCGATGAATATTCCAATTGAGAGTGCAAATCAAGTATCGTGCGAACAACGGCAAGCGAGTAGGACAAGTATCACGCATGCGCCCATTTAAGTATGGTCGAACGCCTACCTCGTACAGCAACCTGGCGCTATGAAATTTGGATTCTGAGCTGCATCATGACAACAGGGAACRCAAATCATCTATGTTTCATATGATCAAGATACCACAAATCTTCACATGTGAATTTCTTTTGTTGTCGAGKCAACTCCAATGGTAGAACAGGTAACACGGTGTCCTCGTCCTGCGATTGGAAAAAAAAAGAAAGTATATTTTATTTTATTTTATTTTATTTTATTTTTATTTTTCCTTCCTTTTACAGTTCTGAGAAAGGGGCCACAGGTCCAGCTCACAAGTAGGGTGCGGGACAGGCAATGCAACCCCCATTCCCTGATCGTCGTTGAGGACCTCTGAAGCGGGCACGGCGAGTGACAGGCGTCACTGTCCCTAGCTTCAACGGCGAACAGGTGACCCCTCCCCGGGTTTCCTCACACCGTCTTCACCCCAATAGAACGCCCGGTCATTATAGCCATACCTGGTACAATTCGGAGTCCAGATACAGCTATTATAATGACCAGGCGTTCAATTTCGGGTGAAGACGGTAGCCCTAGGTCATAGGACATCAAGGTTACCATCAGTGTTACTTACAATTCACAGGCGGTAACCAACCATGTTGCTAACCTTAGGTCAGCGGTCAAAGGTCAGCGGTCAAAGGTAAAAGGGCAAGGTTACCTTATCCATCAAAGTTACTGTCCGCATGCGCTAAGTTGCTAACCACCGTGTTGCTAACCCTAGGTTACACAGGACAAGGTTACCGTCTGCGCTCTCACCAACCGTAGGGTACGGTCATATGACATCAGGGTTATCTCGTCTGGAGGTAGCAGCCACCATGTTGCTAAAGCTTTATGTCAAAGTTAGTCAGACAAAAGGGTTACCAGCCACACGTGGTCAAACGGAAGGGTTACTGGTCTCATGTGGTCAAACGAAAGGGGAAACGGATTCAAAATTCGAATTGAAGACACTCCAAAATTCCATCGTAATTTTTGGAAAGGCAATGAAGTCCGCTGCCCACGGCTGGAATTAAACCACCAGTACTTGGCGGCCCAGCTATCGGCCGTGGGAAAAGTAGAAACGTTTCCAGTCGAATGAATTTGGATGCTCCTGTAGTGGCCCGTACCTTTCCTAAATTTGTGGCCTGTTAACGGGCACAACTTTTGCAAGTACTTGTGGTTTAACATCTACCTTCTTCCCCCGAATACAACGTACGGTTATTATAGCTGTATCTGGGGTATCTTTCCGTCTAAATACAGCTATAATGACCATACGTTGTATTCGAAGGAAGAAGGTAAGAGTCTGCACTTGCTAAACACAATTGTTTCCGGAATCTATGTCACCAATTGTTACCAATTGTTACTGTTACCCATTGTTACCAGTTGTTACTGTTACAATTGTTACCAATTGTTACCATTTGTTACCAATTGTTACTGTTACGATTGTTACTGTTACCAATTGTTAACACTTGTTACTGTTACCAATTGTTACCAATTGTTACCAACTGTTACTGTTACCAATTGTTACCAATTGTTACCATTTGTTACCAATTGTTACCAATTGTTACTGTTACCAATTGTTACCAATTGTTACTGTCACCAATTGTTACCAATTGTTACCAATTGTTACCAATTGTGATTGGTACATAGTACATATCATGCATGACATTCAATTCAAAATGAAAGCTATGCACAATGATTTTCGATAAGTTTTGCTTTTTCTTGAAACTCCAAGTCGATCCCTGATGAGATGCAATCATGTCCTTTGGCCCCCATTTTACCTCTCTGCATTTTGACATATGCAGAATCTGAACTCAGGGAAGTTTTCAAAAGAAGTTTTCTTGGAAAAATGCAACCAAATTAAAATCTTAACAATGATGGGACGGACATAAACAAATGCTGAAATGGTCCCCTTCTCTGTCACACATTCTTATTCAGGGGGCTCCTCATAAGTTTAGTCTCTATACAGTCTTTAAACGCTTACATATTTTATGGAGTTTTATTTAACGTCACTCTACTGCAGATTATTCATTACTACAACAAGTCGGTCCCGCCGCAGCTTCGCTCACGCTCACACGCAGGCCAAAGAGCAGCTCAAAAAAAAAAAAAGAAAGGGTGCGGAAGGACGCAATCCTTGGGGAGGAGACCTAAGACCTAAACTCGAACGCGCATGTACTGAAAAGACCAACCGCCACCAAAAACTGAAAGCACGCGAAAGCGCAAATACACCTGAGAAAACCAAGACTGGAATAGGGAATGCTCCTGCAGATGCCAGGGTCCCACAGCAACCCCAGTTTCGCGTGGGCCCGTCACACGAGACCCGGGTTTGCTGCTTTTAAAAGAAATATATTACATTAAATACAAATTAAGCAAGAAAAAAGGAGGTGGGGGAGAAGGTTAGGGGGGGGGGACGGCCGGGGAAAAGTTGTGTGTGTGTGTGGGGGGGGGGGGGGGGGGGGGGGTGTTGCGAAATGACGAAGTCCTCCTTGTTGCTAGGTGGTGTGTGAGCTCCTCCTTTCCGTGCAGGTCAGCGTCGTCACTGGGTGCGCAGCACTGGCATGAGTAAACAATCAACAGCAGCTGGTCCTCAGGGAACAGTCAGCCAGGCCTTCGTGCCATGCCAATCAGCCACCGAACATGCTACATGTTGCTTCACTCTCCTTCCTTCCGGTCAGCCCCACAGACTCACATAGCAAGAAGTTTGAAAAACGAACAGGCGGCAAACCGAACGCGCAGATTGGGAAGGCAGCAGTTGAGGTGCAAGTAGACAGCAAGTGACGAGAAGCGCTGTGCAGCAACTTGAAGGTTGTCAGGAAGGGTGGGACGCGATGCCATTTTTCCTTGGGGAAAAAGAAAGGCACCCACCACAGAAAGAGGAAAAAAAAGAGACGAAGAAGATGACGACTATGGTCAGAAACATATGATACGATCATTCACATACCCAAGCTTCTGAAGATTGGGAATACATGCAACGTTCAGCATGCCCGGTGGGCCGCAGAGCAAGGCGAATGTTTCAGCGTCTGGTGGGAAGAGATGCGAGTGGAGGGTTCTTTCATTGATGAAACCGGAACCGAACATCCAGCCTTCAGGAGGCGGGCGATTGACGGTAAACCAGAGCTTGAACTGAGCGGAATAAGTGATCGCCCACTGCTCGAGCTGCTTGCGCAAAAGAATGTCGTCAACGGAGTGGCTTGCATACACAAGGGCCATCTCAGTCGAGTCGTCTGAGTCCTGCAAAACTGACTTGATGACCTGATAGATGGGCGTAATCCCAGTGCCTCCGGCCACCATGCTAAGGCGGCGGAAATGCAAGGGCGTTCCCATCTGCTGTCTTTGCAACCAGCCCCTCCCGAAGAACTTCAAGTTGCCGATCGGCCCCTTCACGAGAATCAAATCGCCGATCCGTAAGGAATCTAAGTATTGGGAGAAGACACCTCCTTGAGGAAACTTTGGGTGTTCATTCTTGAAGTATATCCTCACTACTAGATCCATGTAACCGGTGTTACCTTCGTCATCGTCCAGCGAGATCGGAGTGTACGGTCTGATAACTTGCTCGCCATCTACATTTGCCTTCAAGTATACATGCTGGCCTGTAGGTAAACCAAGGACATGGGTCCTCGAGGGAAGAGCGAACTGAAATCTCCGTGCGTTTGACGTCAAGATCTCCTTCTCTGTAAGCTGTATTCTCACCCACTCCTTGGGATTGAGAGCTACGGTCCGTTCCCTTGAAACAGCCACCTGCGCTGCTGTGCGCCCATCTGCTGGCGATGGTGGCTGTTCAGGCTGAAGACCGCTCGTGTCTGGCCGTCTCACATCCAGATCTCCAATAAAATACTGCTCCAGCAACTCAATGGCACTCTTTGAATGGATTGCATAAAAGTCTTCCGTCACGTCTTGGCCTGCATTTGTCAGAATGCTCTGTGCTCCTCCGGGGTGCTTGTTTAAGAATGCCGTGCAATCATAGACCTGGTTCAAATGACAAACACCTCACTCCCATTCAAAAGCGCACGCGCGCGCGTGCAAAAGAGAGAGAGAGAGAGAGAGAGAGAGAGAGAGAGAGAGAGAGAGAGAGAGAGGGAGAGAGAGAGAGAGAGAGAGAGAGAG